GAACTGGGAAGCGCAGGAGGAAGGAGGGAGCAGTCAGGCGCTCTGGAGGGCGTGGCCTCTCGGCAGACAGGGCGGCTGGATGGGGAGGCCCGTGGCTGCTAACTCAGCAGGCCTTGTCCACGTGCAGAATCCTCACCGTGTTCGGAGGCACCGTGCCCGGCCCCAAGGGCTGAATCACGGGTGACCCAAGCCAAACACAACGGCTCACACCCTCCTGTCACACACTGTTCTCTCAGTCTGTCTAGCAGCTAATGGTAGGCACTATTGAATAATAAATGGAAGGCTGTAGTGCCCTGGGTTCCTAGGTCAGTACACAAAATCCAACTCACTGCAAACAGGAAAACAGAGTTTAAGGTTAACCAGTCAGAAACAGCCCATTCGCCTCTAACTGGGGACTGGACCGATCAGAACCCACCGACTCACCTCTAACTAGGATTTGACCAATCAGAAGCTGCCAACTCATCTCTATCTAGGGACTTAACCAATCAGAAAGCACCAACTCTCCTCTAACTAGGAATTTGATGGACCAGAAACCATCATTTTTCTCTAGGGGCTTGATCAATCAGAAACCACCTACTCAGCTCTAACTAGGAACTTGACTGATCAGAACCCACCAACTCACCACTAACTAGGAACTTTATGAATCAGAAACCGCCAACTCACCTCTGTGCCTGTATCTGGCAGAGCTGTGGTGTGACAAGATAATCCTTCCCCGCCACCCAGATAATCGAGAGTTTTGGCTGGACCTTTGAGCACACATGGCGATAGTGAGGAGCCTGATGAAAAGCACAGACTATGGTGCTGAAACAGATTAATAAGGAACTCAGTGATTTGGCCCGTGGCCCTCCAGCCCAATGTTCTGCAGGTCCAGTTGGGAATGACATGCTTCACTGCCAAGCCACGATTCTGGGACCCGATGACAGCCCATATCAAGGCGGTGTGTTCTTTTTGACAATTCATTCTCCTACAGACTACCCCTTCAAACACCTAAGGCTGCATTTACAGCAATAATTTATCATCCAAATAGTGATAGTAAAGGCAGCATTTGTCTCTATAGTCTAAGGTCACAGTGGTCTCCCGCTTTAACTATCTCCAGAGTTCTTTCATCCGTTCGTTCACTGCTATGTGATCCAAACCCAGATGACTCCCTAGTGCAGAGATCACACAGATGTATAACACGGGCAGAGATAAGTACAACAGAATATCTTGGGAATGGACTCAGAAGTATGCCATGTGATTCTGCCTTAAAGTCAGAATAACCTGCATTCTAGCTGGAATAAACTTTAAATTCGTGTGAAAGAAGGAAGGAAGGAAGGAAGAAAGAAAGAAAAGAAAGAAAAATGTGGCTACAACCTGAGCTGGAGGGACGTGCTTTCCTCATCAAGATAATGTTGAACGGCTGGGCTCGGTGGCTCAGTCGTAATTCCAGCACTTTGGGAGGCCGAGGCGAACGGACTGCCTGAGCC